CTATGCTGATTCACATCAGCTGATCTTCTCTGGCTTCCCCACAAGGTCTTGCATCTGGAGGGGCTGGCTCTGTCTTGTGCAGCACGAGCCACTAAACAATGAGCCTCTGAGGCTTTCTTCCTATCAGAAGAGGTATGTCCTTTGCTGGCCAGCTTTAGGTGGCCCAGAGTAGGACCATTGCCAGGGCCTGGTGCACTAGCTTACCACAGGGGGTGCTCGTTCCATTAAGGTCAATGGGAGTTTTGTCAGTGGCGGTAATACGGTCAGGCCTTCACCCCATGTGCTGAAAATATAACACCAGGCTGGTTGGGGCTGGAAATACAAGCTCTCTTGGGGCTACAGTAGAACTGCAGGGTTCAAAAACAGTTCTGTAAAAATTTAACTTCATGAGCAAAGGCAAACACGTGTGGCCAGCGTGACACCAGGCGTGGCTAGCGTCACACAACGTGCAGTGAGTAAGAAGATTATGAGTATACAAGGGATCTACAAAGTGGCATGTTCAGACTATAGCTGTGGTTTTTCAATCTTTTTTTCCAGTTGTCGGGGCTTACTAATTTCAAATGGAAATCTTATAGTGAGTAGGTGGCCCAACACCACTGTTCAACAGGCTCAACAATTTGACTCCCAACCAAACCCCAGCCTTAAGATTGGCACGGGGACCTAAAGAGCAAAGTAAACACTATGGCTACGTCTAGACTGGCATGATTTTCCGCAAATGCTTTTAACGGAAAAGTTTTCCATTGAGCGTCTAGATTGGCACGGATGCAAAAGCAATCTAGACGCAAAAGCACTTTTTGTGGAAAAGCGTCCATGCCAATCTAGACGCGCTTTGGCGCAAAAAGCCCCGATCGCCATTTTGGCAAAAAAACTTGCCAGTCTAGACACAGCCTATGGGTGGATCTAGACTGGCAAGATTTTGCGCAAAAGCGACTGTTTTTGCACAAAGTCTTGCCTCCTGGCTACCCTGGCCGCGAGTATTTGAGCAAGAACAATGACTTTGTACTGTACAAAATCAGGGGTTCTTGCGCAAATACTCCGACGCTCCCGTTCAGGGATAAGCCCTCTTGCACAAGCACTCTTTTGTGCAAAGGCACATGCCAGTATAGACGCTCTCTTGCGCAAATACTTTTAACAGAAAAACTTTTCCCTTAAAAGTATTTGCGCAAAATCATGCCAGTCTAGACGCAGCCTACTTGAAAATCTTCCCAAACCTGGCTGTGATTTGTGTGCTGTCAGGGACGACAGAGCTGTAATACCAACAAGATTGACTACATTTGTTTGGATTAAGAATTAAAATATAAATGCAAGTTGCAGCCCATCCCAATGGGAGACCGGAGGAAACAAAATGAAGTTTTACTATAACTTAGCTTTTAACCTAGACCCTTAAGTAAATCTGCATCATAGACTACAGCAAAACGGTATGGATATATGGAGCCTTGAATCTGGTAGGAGAAAGTGCAACAGCAGTGAGAAGTGACTTACTTTCTGAGTCTATGCTAATCCAATAAGGAGCTAATTCAGACGTATTCTGAGGGGAGTATTTCATCACTTGTTGGCATCTGATACAAAGGCTTGCATCCAATGGCCGGATACTGAGGAGTTGAATCTCTCCACCCTCCCTGCCCTATTTTCCATAGCAATGCAAGGAGTCTTGTCTTGGAAGAATATCAAAGCAGCCCAGTCTGGCTGCTTGAATCAAGACACAGCATTGCATGCTAGAAACCTTCCCCAGGTCATATCTTCTATTGAGCGGTGGGGATCAGTGTTGTCATTGTTTACTACTAGGCTACGTCTAGACTACATCCCTTTTTCGTAAAAGGGATGTAAATTAGACGTATCGCAATTGCTAATGAAGCGGGGGGGATCTAAATCCCCGCTTCATTAGCATAAAAATGGCTGCCGCTTTTTTTCCTGCACATAGCTTTGTTGAAAAAAAGCCCCAGTCTAGACGCTGATCTTGTGGAAAATAAAGTCTTTTCTGAAAGATCCCTTATCCCTCTACGAAATAAGGGATAAGGGATCTTTTGGAAAAGGCTTTATTTTCTGCAAGATCAGCGTCTAGACTGGCGCTTTTTTTCAACAAAGCTATGTGCAGGAAAAAAAGCGGCAGCCATTTTTATGCTAATGAAGCGGGGGAGATCTAAATCCCCGCTTCATTAGCAATTGCGATACGTCTAATTTACATCCCTTTTACGAAAAAGGGATGTAGTCTAGACGTAGCCCTTGAGCTTCTAGCCTGTTGCCAATGTAACCATCTACTGGGCAACCATGATGCAACTATGCCTTAGCACTCTGCAGTATTTGCCATTCAGTGCAACCCCTTCCTCTAGGAGCAGCTGACATCTTCTACAACATCACTTTGCATTAGCTGTTCACAGAACTTTATGCTTCCCAACTTTATGCTTCCTACAGGTCCACTGACAAAGGAGGGGGAAAAGGGGCAAGTGCTCCAGGAGTGGAGATTCAAAGGGGCCTGGAGCTCCCAGCAGCGGCAGGAGCTCTGGGCTCCTCTGAACTGCTGCTGGAGCGCCACTCTGTGCAGCTCTGAGGACTGGAGGGGGCACTACAGTCTGAGCGGTGCTAAGGGCCAACTGCTCTTGGCCCCACCCCTTCGGGGGGGGGATAGAGTCAACCCCCTGCACACCGTGCCATGGGGACTGTAGTGGCTGCCGGCCCTGTTGTGCACCTGAGATGTTCAAGTTAAAACCTAGTATGGAGTCCCATACTCCTCACAGAGTCTCCTCCCCAGAGAGGCAAGGAAACAAACCACCATTTCTCACTGTTCTGTCATCAAAAGAAACTCAGACTCACTACTGAAAAAATGTTCCTGATATTCACCAAATGAGGGGAAGAGGCTGAATTGACATGTTGTAGAGAGATTATTTCCCCTCATCCTTGGAAGCCAATAGGGCTACAAAAGCACAAGTGCCCAAAGAAGAACAATCTGGGTGCAGTAGCAGTGTCGGGCCAACATAATCAGCCTGATGCAGCATCTCACCCATGGAACCCTTAATATAGGGGGTATGTCAAGTAACGGCCAGCAGGGGAAGTCTTGTAACACACACCATTGGCAATATTCTGAGCACTGACACAGTCCTTAGGCAGCCTGGGGAAGATGTGGTAAATTAGAACAGCCCCCAAGGCTGTTCTCATTTACACTGGGTGGCACAGCACTGGCCCGTAATCCAGGCAGAGCAAAAGAGGCTTGAAGCCACTTTTCCCTTCCGCATTCTGTGCTGCTCCTCCTTGGGAGACCTGAACAGAACTCGTAACCAAAATCCGGGGCTATCACAGCCACAGAGCTGGTTGCACTCCCAGATCTGTGCATTGTGCTAAAGCCAACAGCCAAACTCCAGTTGGCTTGACCAGGGCCAGGAGCAGGCCCTTGTCAAATGCATTTGCAGCTCTGCCATTCACCAATCAAAGGAGCTACAAAGAGCCTTCTAGCTCAGGGCTCCTCCCTGGGTATATCTCTGATGCTAACAGCAGCCAGGTAAGAATGTCTACTCGTAACATTTCATGGGTGATTGAGGCCCAAGCCCAAGAGATGCCCAGCAATCTCTACTTTCATTGACATCAATGCTCAGCGTTTTGCAAAAACCAACCTTACACAAGTCACTACCTACAGTACAAGAAAAACAGAGCCCTGAAGTCAGGTATTGGCAGGCAGAAAAAGTCTTTCCGTTCACAGATATATTATCTATATATACATGTTGATGACCATGGGGACATGTAAGGGGGTGCACTTTGGGGTCTGAACATAGCGGACAATGCTCTCAGAGGTGACAGGGAAATTTAAAGCAGCTTAAGCCTCTGTTTAGCAAGACATCAGCAGGAGATATAGGCCAGCATTCATGGAGCTGATTGACTCCATTCTTATGTGACCAACTTCTAGAATTCTACAGATCTCTTTGTAGCAGAGTGGAATGTACTATACGCCATTGTCAGACAGCCACTAGCATTTCTTAAGAACTAAACAGTCGTAGTGTTCCAAATAAAACAAAAATCACCACTATGTAGCTGCAAACAGGACACGCAAGGGGAAAAAGAAACATTTAGATGAGCCAGATATCATCAGAGGTCACAAGCGCTGCATGGATTTGCAACATAGCTAGAGTTCCTGTCTCTACACCCAGATGGTTTATCTTTGGTTTCACAAATTCTGTAAGAGCTAGAAATTGAGGCACCAATCCAAAACTCATTTTCCCCATCTCATTTCCAGGGTTGGAGCCATGGATTCCTGGGCTCGAAGAGCCACTTTCAAGTCACCTTTCCAATGTAGGAACATACCCTCAGTTACCGTATTGCCCTTTTTCTCTATGAAACTGCCTGTTTAGGTTTCTCCTTGTGGTGGAATCAACAATGCGTTGACATTTTCGACAGCATGCCTGATGCCAAAGTTCAAGTAGGACACATGGGACCAAATCGTGCCCTGAGTTAGTCCGCATAAGACCCCACTAACATTAAAGGAGGTTCACACTGGGGCTTAACAGGGACAGGTAATACTCTCAGGCTACATCTACACTGGCATGATTTTCCGGAAATGCTTTTAACGGAAAAGGTTTTCCTTTAAAAGTATTTCCGGAAAAAGCGCGTCTAGATTGGCAGACGTGCTTTTCCGCAAAAAAGCCCCAATCGTCATTTTCGCGATCGGGGCTTTTTTGCAGAAAACACTACTGTGCTGTCTACACTGGCCCTTTTCCGGAACAGTTTTCCGGAAAAAGACTTTTGCCCGAATGGGAGCAGCATAGTTTTTCCGGAAAAGCACTGATGATTTTATATTAGATCATCAGTGCTTTTCCGGCAATTCAAGCGGCCAGTGTAGACAGCTGGCAAGTTTTTCTGGAAAAGCCTCAGAGAAAAAAGCCATTTAGAATTTTAGCTCTCTCTGATTTGGGCTTCTTGATAAACCAGATGAAGTCTCTCCCCTACACACAACAGAAACAAAGAAGAAAATCCCTCCCCCACCACTGAGAAACCATA